TGTGTGTGTATTACTCTCCTGGGGACCGCTGGTGTCTGCAAGCGTTCGCTCCCCTGATGCTTTGGGCTGCTCCTCTGTTTTTGTTTATTATGGTCTGTGTGCATCTTTAAAGAGTGTGTGTTTATTTTAATGAGTGTGTGCCTTTACAGCTGTGACCTGGGAGCAGCTGCTTCTATCCACCCAGCTGTTGGAGAAAATTAAACAAACGCATGCATAATTATTAATTTATGAATGAAAACATCCTCATAAACAAGTCAGTAGCACTAATTATCTTTTGGCTGGTTTGGGGTTCCATACGTGTGTTTTAAAGAGCTCCTGCTTTATTAGACGTGTAAACGTGTGTGAAGCTGACTGGTTGGGTGGTGATGCAGCTTCTAGCTTTTCAGGTGCAGCAAAAATAACCCCCAGTCAGGTTTTATGCAAACACGTTCATGAGAGGAGCGGACCAACAGCTGCAGATGATACTTCTTTTTGTTGTAAGTTTGGTTTGCTGGAAGGCATTAATGCAGGGGTGTCAAACATGCGGCCCGCGGGCCGCATCCGGCCCGCAAGCGAGTTAAATCCAGCCCGCAAGATGGTTGTGTAAACTTTATTTTCATACTTTACAATGTAGAGTGAAAATAAACGTATCTTTGTGAGCAAGTTTCCTCTGTAATGAGTATAAATAAAACAAAGCTGCGCTCAAGGCTCACACAAGAACGTGAATCACATCCTGAAGTTGGCCGCCACTCAGGATGTGACTTCTGATACTGATGCACTGGTGAAAGCTAAAAGATGTGAAGTAAAATGAGTCAAATATACTTTAAGTGCTGCATGAAACTGATCTTGCCATGTGATCTGTAAGCTCTTTGAATCACTAAGGAATAGGGCTGGGGGTAAACGATTATTTTTAAAACAATTATTCTGACGATTATTTTATCGAATAGTCGACTATTCTAATGACTATTTAGAAAATTAATCTAATGATTATTTTTCTATTGCACAATTAACAAAAACCAGAAAATCTCAAATAAATTCCTCAAAAAAAAAATTGATAAATTCTTACTGTAAGAGAATAAACACTACAGGCCTTCCATTTTGTATAACACTGCGTTTATTGTGTTGGTTGGTTATGTTCTGATGACGTGTAGAACTTGGGAGTGCAGGCTGCTGCCTGAGAGGTGGTAGAAGATGGAGTGTCTCCATGCTGCTTTGTTTTGGTCACTTATGTGCCTGAGGCGAGTGGTCTTACGGGTTAAACCAAACTCAGGTGGTATTTTACACTAAACCGAAAACCCACAACACTCTAAATGTAATAAAAGGGAGATCTACACCACAAAAAAGATTAACTCTAAACCAAAACGTAACAGCTTATCCCAACGCAAGAAGCTGTTAGCGAAAATGCTAACAGTAGCTTTACCAACATTAAGTTCAAGTTACCAAGTTTAAATAAACCAAAAACACCCAGCAGCAAACAGACCAGCACGGAGGAGAGACTGCTACCACCAAAACAGCTCTCCTCATGTCTGAAAGAAGCTCCTTTATTAAGGGAGAAGCGCTCCCGGTGATTTTCTACATCTGCGGTAGAGACGGAGCAGCGCATCTGACCCCGGAAGTTGTTGTCCGTTGCCGGGAGACGAAGGGGCAAAACAGGAAAATAATCTAGTAGTGGACGGACGTTGTTCCGGGTCTTCGGTATTTGGCGGAGATGTTAGTGAAGGCGGAGAAGAGGGCGAACTAGAGGAAGAACAGGCAGATTCCTCCTCTATTTACAAACTCCTGGGGATGCAACAAGTGGGCACGGTGCGTCGACTTCCGGATCTGACGTCGACAAATTTTTAGAATCGAGCCGTCGACTTCGTCGAGGCTTCGCTACAGCCCTACTAAGGAATGTTTATTTATTTATTTATTCAAATTTTCAAGTACACTTCAGGTGTTGTACTTGTACTATTTTGGATACTCTGTCCTCAGGCTCCAGCCTTGTTTTATATTGATTGAATTAAAACAAAGAAAACAATCTGAAGTTGTTTTTAATTTACCGGTCCGGCCCACTTGGGACTAGATTTACCTCAATGTGGCCCCTGAGCTAAAATGAGTTTGACACCCCTGCATTAATGCCTTTTGGTGTGCTTTAAAGGCTCCATGTTGCTCTGAAGTAAAACAACAACAAAAAAGGAAAGTGTTTGTTGAGGCGAGGGTTCTCAATGAGGTAAGGAAAGTATTCAGACTGCATGAATTTATAAAATTCAGGTTTTCTGTCAATATGGGGTGTTGTGTGTACATTACTGAGGAAAAATTTTATTTGTTTAATTTTTGCAAATGGCTACAATATAACAGAGTGAAAAGGGGACGGGGGTGCCGCTGTATGTCAACCTTTTGAACAGCTGTAAGTTCATTTGTGTTTTCTTTATTAAGCAAAGAAAAAAAATCTTAGACTCTGTCATCTTGATTTAGACCAAAATTCAAATTTTACACAGCATGGGCTGCATGGTGGCGCAGTGGTTAGCACTGTTGCCTTGCAGCATGAAGGCTGCAGATTCTAAACTTGGCTGCGGTCTTTATGTTTATTTATTTGGCAGATGCTTTTATCCAAAGCGACTTACAATTTATAACCTATAGGGAATGTTGTACCCGGAGGAAACCCACACATGCATGGGGAGAACGCGCAACTCCACGCAGAAAGGCCGCAGCCGAGTTTCGAAACCTGCGACCTTCGTGCTGCGAGGCAACAGTGCTAACCACTGCGCCACCATGCAGCCCGTGGAGTTGCGTGTTCTCCCCATGCATGCGTGGGTTTCCTCCGGGTACTCCGGTTTCCCCCACAGATCACAACATGCCCTATAGGTTATACATTGTAAGTCGCTTTGGATAAAAGCGTCTGCCAAATAAATAAACATAAACATCAGTCAGAAAGTGAATTACAACTGTTGAAACAACCCTGCTGTAGCTAGCGCTAACAACAAGCTAACACAAACATGAGCCAACTAATAATAAAATAAACTACAAAGTAAAAAGATCCACACTGTTGATCAAGAAATATTACGTCATTGCAACAAAGCCAGGCCACTATCAGTCTGTGATTTTTGTAGCCTCTTCTAGCTCCCTCAAGCTAGTGTAGACCATGCAGATGCTCACTCTGGTTTTAGCTCTTTGCTTCACCTCAAATGACATTACTCTCTTACTTTTACTTCCAGGCTTCGTCATGATGCCAACAGAAAAAGCAAACATCTTTTTCTTCTTCTTGTGCTTTTTTATTGACGATCGGTGAACTGAAAAAGCTAACTGCTAACATAACAGCCGTAAAGCAGGTAAAGAGCTCCCCCTAGTCACCTATCCGCTCCACAAAACTATCAAGTGCAGTTTTGGTCCGCAGATATGAAACTGGTCTAGTTTTTACCTCAACAATCACTATCACCAGATACAAGTTTACATACATGAAACTCTTAATTCCACGTGTTTTCAAGCAGAGTTAGCTTTAGCAGCAGCTCGAAGGACCGTCTAACCCTCTAATATAAAAGCTAATTAGTGGTGTAAATGTTTGTAAAACAGCATAGTTTAATAGAGTTGCTTTCTTGCTAACATCGGCTGACTAGCTGTTAGCTCATCAGTCTTATCAGAACTTTGGTGGATCAGCTGAAACGTGAAAGCATGCAGGAAGCCCCCCCCACCCCCCCACCCCCCTCTGCCTTTTTGATTAGGTAGTGGCCCTGCTATTCATCTTTCCCATCCTCTAAAGAGATTCCCCGACTGACCCACTGACCCAGAACCGGACCGCCCGGACACGCGAGGAACGCTGGAACATGAGGGAGGTAGATCTGATTAGAGACCAGCGATGGAGACAAATGAGGTTTGGGGGCAGCAGCTCTCAGAGCCGTGTGCTGGTTCTCATTGATGTAAGGCAGACCCCCCCCACACACACACACACACACACACCCTAATCATTTAAGCTCTGCCTTGCCCCACCCCCACCTGTGCTGCACCAGAGGCCCGCTTAAAATGAAATGAGGGGTTTTGACTCCTCTCACCCCAGCGATACCACACACCCTCTCTAGCAGCTGCTGTTTCCATAGTAACGAGGGTGAGAGGAGGCGGTGGCGGCGACAGCCATTCCACATCCACGCCTCCCTTTCCTGACAGAGCCAGCACTTAACCCACAAACCACTGCAGCCATTCCTGAGATCTGGGTCATATTTTCAGTGATTCATCCTTCTGAGCAGAAAAAGAGAACAAGGGATGGATGGAGAGGGTTGTTGCAGGGCAGGGATCGGAACGGGGGAGGGGGGGTGTTTGTTTAATCATGTTGGGTGTTCCTCTGACGAGGGCAGCTAGAGCAGAGAGGTGTTCAGATGCTCATCATGACATTACCACTCAGAGCAGAGCGTGGATCTGTTGAGGGAACGTCCCTCTTGGCTCCAGGATGAATGTTTCAACACAATGGCTCTATTCAGAAGTGTGTGTGTGTGTGTGTGTGTGTGTGTGTGTGTGTGTGTGTGTGTGTGTGTGTGTGTGTGTGTGTGTGTGTGTGTGTGTGTGTGTGTGTGTGTGTGTGTGTGTGTGTGTGTGTGTGTGTGTGTGTGTGTGTGTGTGTGTGTGTGTGTGTGTGTGTGTGTGTGTGTGTGTGTAAGTGGGACAACACATGGAGCTGCTGTGGTCAGAAACTGGAGGCGGCCCAGACATGAAGCTATGATTACGAGAATAAGCTGTGATTTATGAACGAATGATGTTCTGAGAACCGATGAAGTCGTGCTGGAACAAAATTTATTCTATTTAAAGATGAACCTCAATCGACTTTTAAATTTAACATAAAAATTCAGTGCTTAGCAACAGTAACCAGGCAACGGGATGCTGCAGCAGAGCCCAGACATGGATTTATCCAAGCGGCCATCTTTTACTTTTACCAGTCTTCTGTACAAACCTCAGCATGAATAAGTGAAACGGTGGTGCACGACTGTTGGAGGGAGTTACGAGGGCTTGGGATGGCTTCAGATTGTTAGAATAAAAACGACAAAAACAAGTCCAACTGCATTTCAAATTCCAGTTTTATTGGTCGCTGGACTTTAGGTGAACCAATGGCACAAGAGAGATTATTCCACAATATCCAAAAAATAGTACAAAATACTAAAGAAAAATTCCAGTTTTACCAAACAAAGATGTGGACTTCGTTATTTACTTATTTCCCTACCGGTAAGGCACAGTCATTACCACATGTTTATCCTTCCACATCTGTTCGCTCTCGGAGGAGAAAGGCTCCGTTTTATTTCACCTTCTTAACCCTTCGTGGAAACACCCAAAACAAGGGAACCATGGAAACGGGACACAGGGACGGATCGTCTGATGGACGTTTTTCAGCTCGTGCCGAGGACAGAAGGGCAAACACGGCAGAGCCGATTAACACGTTGTGCTACATGACTGATGAAATCTCCAGCTGTTGCTTTGATTAGTCAACAAAAGCAAAGAAAGGTGGTTTTACGGAAAGGCTAAGATCAAAGCAGCAGCAGCTTTAGTTGTGCGGGGGCGGAGAGGCGGCGTGGAGGACGGGGCGGCACGACGCCGGCAGCAGCACCAGATTTCTGTTCGATTTGATTGAAGTTTGTTTATCCAGTATCAAAAGTTTGGTCGTTAAAGGCTGAGGTGCACATTTAGTGGAGGGAAACTAAGCAAGCAGCATTCTGCGCATCTCAACACCTGCTGCACACGTCACCATGATAATGGCTGTGCCTCAAACATAGAACAGGAAACTAGTCACACCTGGTTCGTTTACGCCCAGCGACGAGCGCGAGCGCAGCTCTTCACATCTGACGCCGGCCAGGACGAGTGGCTACGAGTTCTACATCCTGGTTTAAGACCTTGGCGCTGTCGCCAACCAATGAGAACGCAGCTAGAGCAGCACAGGAATCGGACTTACACTTGAGATGAACGGGGTTGGCCACCTGCACCTCCATCAGATCCACGCTAACTTATATTACAGTCATCACAGGCAGGAAGGCCCACTCACACAGACACACACTCAGAGATCCAGCCCCAAAACAAAGGACCCAACTCTACTGATACCAACGAAGAAGAAGCTGGGGATGCAACCACATGTTTGTGGAGCTCTGATCAGGCAGGAAAAGGTCTACCGGGCCGGTTCAGACGCATGAATACAGATGAGGGAGTGGGGGTTAGTGACATGCTGCACAGCAAACCAGCTCGAAGCAGGAAAAAGTGCACAGCCCTGCGATAACTATGGCAACAGATGGAGGTCTGCACTGCAGGGCAGAGCTTAGAAACAGAGGACGGAAGGATAAAAAGGAAGGGGGGAGACGGGTCTCCTTCCTCCCATCCTTACTGATCTCTGTAGCTCAACATATAAAGTCAAATAGGATGAAAAATAACAGGAGGTGTCAGAAGGAGGGAAGAGGGCGGAATGCATCCTCGTTGCCGTGGTTTCCCAGCCTCCCTCAGTACTCCCAGAGTGTGGCGCTATCCAGGTCGTCGGCATTGGCCTTCAGCACGCCGGCGTGGTCCCCGCGGAGGTATTTCCCATCATCCGCGTGGCGGATAGCCAGCTTGTTGTAGTCGCAGAACTCGAAGAGGAAGTCGACGGGAGTGTCGCTGCTGCTCACCACCGACTGCTCGTTCCCGATCATCCAGTATTTACCAGTGGAGTCTGCAGATGGAGGAGGGAGCGTTAAGTCAGTTAAAGCATCATCAAATCCTGACTCACTTCACCTCAGCTCACCTTGCAGGCTGTACGCGCCGTCTCTGAACTCCAGGGTGAAGAAGTCGTAGGAGGAGCGGTTGGAGTCCAGTGTTCCGGTCACCTTCCTGCAGCCGATGAAGCCGTGCTCACCTCGCAGCACGATGATTGGGCGGTTGATCAGCTTCATGATGAACTCCTCAGACTCACCTAGAAAAAAAAAATCACTTAACCGTGATTCAGCTAAAACATTTACACGTCCAGTCACTCCTGTCAGACGGTGAAGCTCAAATAGTCAAATATTATAGGTCTTCATATCCTTTAATTGGGACGATTATGGCAACAGATAAGAAAACTGAAAACTAAGAAATATTTGTTATTGAGAAAAAGCTAAATACTAGAAACTCACGGAGTCACTTAACTCCAAACACCTGTAAATGCTTCTTTAGCCTCTCAGTCTGGGTCAGTAGGAAAACTGATCACTGGACAGATGTCCAGAAGACAGTCATGAGCACTGTCCACAAGGAGGCAAAGCCACAGGAGAGTCAGTCTGCAAAGGTCAGAGCCAAGCTAACCTTAACACATGCTGGTGGGGGAGAGCCAAGCTAACGCTAACACAGGCTGGTGGGTCAGAGCTAAGCTAACCTTAACACATGCTGGTGGGTGAGAGCCAAGCTAATGCTAACACAGGCTGGTGGGTCAGAGCTAAGCTAACCTTAACACATGCTGGTGGGTGAGAGCCAACCTAACACTAACACATGCTGGTGGGAGAGAGCTAAGCTAAGGCTAACACAGGCTGGTGGGTCAGAGCTAAGCTAACACAGGCTGGTGGGTCAGAGCTAAGCGAACACTTTCACAGGCTGGTGGGTGAGAGCCAAGCTAACACTAACACAGGCTGGTGGGAGAGAGCTAAGCTAAGCTAACACAGGCTGGTGGGTCAGAGCTAAGCTAACACAGGCTGGTGGGTCAGAGCTAAGCTAACACAGGCTGGTGGGTGAGGGCTAAGCTAACGCTAACACCCCAAGTTTCATTTACTGATTTAAGTGACAAATACAAATATTTGGTATTAGATATAAATATTAGATAAGCATGTATTTGTATCAAAACATTGCATCTTGCTTTATTTAACCTCCTGGGACCCAAACTTTTATTTGGTGTGATTTAGGCCTAGTCCACACGTAGCCGGGTCTTTTTAAAAACGAACGTCCGCCCCTCCAAAAACTTTCATCCACACCACCTCGTTTAGAAAAAAAAAACTGTCCACACGTACCCGGATAAATACGTTGTTAAGGACATGCCAGACCTGTAGGCGGCAGTACTTGAGAGAAGCCAGGTGCCGGGCAATAGCTGTTCTTAACCTCGTCCTTCATCTGTGGTCTTCCGCAAGGAGCAGTAATTCCGCTTGCAAAAACAAACAAGCAGAAAGCGCTTGGACAATTGATAAAGCGAGCGCAGCTCTGAGGGCATCCATGCTGTCGGCTAGTGTAAACACAGGTCGCACACGTGATGTCAGCATTTTTTGTCGCGGAAAGTGACGTTGCGGACCTTAAAACTCCGGTTTCATCTGTCCACACGCAGACACCCAAAACGGAGAAAACGCAAATCTTCACTTTGGCCGGAGTTTTTAAAAAGATCCGTTTTCATGTGGATGACAGGCTAAAACGTAGAAAAATATCTACGTGTGGACAGGGCCTTAAAAGAAAAAACATATTTAGCTATTACAGATTAGTCGACTAATTAACAGAAATAAAATTACAAGAATTTAAAGAGCAAGTCACCCCCTACCAGAGTATTACTCCACTCGCACTTCCTGTTTAAAAAATGCAACAAATGCTGTTGCCTAGCAAACTGAGAGGGCGGAGCCGCTAATACACACACCAACACACACACACAGGCTCACGATGACATTGTGACATCATATGGTACCAGCTAACGTTCTAGGGTACCTCTTAGCCAATAGCGATGGCAGATTAAAATTCAACTGCAGTGCAGTTTTTACCTGACAACGGCACAACACTGACAGTTTCAGGCAGAAAATTACAATTTTAACTAAAATGCACTAAAGTGCAAAACTATTGTCTACACACATTTATATAGTTTATCAGGGAAAAAAAGTTGATTTGGGGGTGACTTGCTCTTTAAATACAAAAAAACATTTAAATAAAAATGTCATTTCCTAAAAAAACAAAACAAATACATTTTAATATTAAAATCAATATCAAATGTCTGTAAATAACAAAAAGGTCTAAGAAGAGAATAAAATTTTAATGTGCAAGGAACCAACGTCCACACGTGGACACAGGGCCCTGGGAGGTTAAGCTCATTGCCAAAAAGGAGGCGATGATGTTTTTGCGCATTTGTTAGCAAAATATCTTACCGGATGGATTATTATAAAATGAAATGAATCATTGGATAAACACATACTTCCACATTAGGAATCAATCCAATTCAAGATGGCCACCACATTTAATCACCAAACAGCTCAGACCGGCTCACTTTTACCGGTATGGAGGTAACAGTCGGTCGAACGACCCGCTGAAAGGCAAACGGCTAAGTGTCATTTTCAAATCTTAACCAAAACAACCACAGTTCCATCCTCAAAATGAAAACGATCTCAGGCAAGCCACATGCATTCCGTCAAACGTGAACATCACCTTTTCCGTCTCCATTGGAGACGCTTTCCAATCACATCTGAGCGGTTCATTGTGTGTAAAACTGCTTACAGTCAAATGTCACGTTTCTGCAACCTCCAGGTCACATGATCCACGTACGCATAAACATCAAAAACAGAACCTCCAAAAGCTGGAAGCAGCTAATGGCAACGTTCAGCTGTTTATGCAAACAAAGCAGCTTCTAATCAGAAGCACAGTTGGAGCTGCCAGCCATGACCTCATCCTACCCTGAGCTTCGGGGCTGAAGATCAGACCCGTCTGAAACCCACCTGCTGAGTCCATGGTGGCTGCTAGCTGCCCGTTTTTCTTGGCGGCCACGTATTTTCCGTTGGCGGCCCGGAGAGTCAGCCTCTTTCCACGCCACTCGATGTCAAAGTAGCAATTAGCCGACCTGCAGGGAGATGAGAAGTGATGTTCAGACGAGTCAACGCCTTCACAGGTCAGATTCATCCTCGTTAAGTCAGTGTCAGGTAATTGGATCGGTGGGATTAAGGCTGAATTAAGAAGCTAGTTAGATCCATCACTTTCATTTCAGGCTCAACACAAATCTGTAATCCAGACCACATCTGAGCTGTGTGAGATCAGATTCCTGCGGTGCGTTCTGGAACGAGTCAGATCTGAGGAATGCGGTGAATGTCCTGCAGATCGCTCTGCACCGTGACCTCCTGAGGACCAAATCTGTTCCCTTACATTTTTTAAAACAGCAGAGATGCCTCAGTCTAGAAATCTAGATGGTAGCAAAAGGTTTTGCTCTGCATGTCGGTTTAGCCGTGCTCCATGGTAGCCTCAGCGGGCCTACTGTTGGCTCAGCTAAGTTTAGGTTGGACCAATCACAGCGCTCCATGTAGAGAGGTTCGACAGGCCATTACCAGTCACCTGTTTTTCTTTTCGATGACAGCAGAGCAAAACAACAAGGTTTTTGGCGGTTTCTTTTGTTGGATTGTGGACGTAAGGCTTGATGTGGACTAATGTTGTTGGTGGACATGAATTGTACCTGTGTGGAGCTACAAAGTCAGCTTTTGCTGGACATGGTTCCATTATGTCAGTGAGACTTGAACTGTGTTGGACATTATTTTACATACGAGTGGTTCAACAGAAGTGTTTCCTTTGTCTACAGTCATGACTATCGTGTGGGGAAAAGAAACGCTGGTTTCACACAGAGGAACGTAATTGACCTCCCGCAGCAAGCGGGACCAAAGGGCTAAAGGTCAATAGTATGGCAGGAGCGCTGCACAACTTAAAGTCCAACTCAATCATCCGATGAAAACTCCTGTAGTTTTTAATGCCGGGGTTAGAAAAAGATCACAATGTCAGTTTTTTCACCTCATTGTGCAGCCTTGGTCTAGACTACCTAGCCATTAGCTCATCAATCCTGAAAGATGTGACCCATTTTTCTAAACTGATGCCATTCAGGAAGCAAAGTAGTTATTAGCAGGGGTCAGAGGTCAAAAACTACCTCTCTAGCAGGAGACACACACACACACACACACACACACACACACACACACACACACACACACACACACACTAACGCATCAGCCTTCACCCTACAGGGATTATCAGCCACTAGACAAGGTCAGAGATAAGTGAGCGCCTCGTGTCTCACTTCCTGTCAGCGGTGTGGGATCCAGGTTGCAGTTCTGGAGGATTCTTACTTGGTAGAGGCGGTGCACTGCAGGCCGCCGTTGGCAGTGAGGGTCCAGTACTTCCCTGCGGCCGTGCGGAATGCACACTTCCTGTTTTCACGACAAATTTCTACCTGGAACACCTCCTGGTCGCTTTCTTCATCCTGATTGGCTGACAGATCCATGCCTGGTGGAGGAGAGGGGGGAGTTAATTAGTGTGGAGGTCAAGATCAGACGACATGAACATCAGAGAGCTTGGATCAGTGAAGGGTTTCATGCAGCTGCCCCCCCCCCCCCCCCCACGCACACACACACACACCCCTGTCAAAGGAAACGGACCTCAACAAACTTCAAAAGGATGTCGGTAGATGATGCGAGGGAACACAGTCTGTTCCCAACCAGGAAGGGCTCTTTAGGATCCAGAGAACATTCCTGAAGCTTCAGAAGCAGGAAGTCATCGGATCTAAACTTTATTCGTTTTTCTGTGTTTGTTTTTGTTTACCACCAAACGGTCCTCACAGGTGAAGCAGCCTTCCTCCTTTTACCAGCGTTTTAAACCAGGAACGTTGTCTCTGAAGATTCCCTTGTTAACTCGCATCTCCAGCCAGCCGAGTCCCACTCGTGACTCTGATCCAACGTTCAGCTCGAAACTTGCACAACTTTGTTGTGTTTACAACGACTGGTTAGCTGTGGCGGCCATGTTGGCCCCTAAAGATAAACGTCACTTTAGAGGTGGTCCAGAGAGCAAAAACGTTGTTTTTTATGTTGCCATGGTAACCCGCCCTAGCTAAACTACCACAGGCATCCTCTAGAAGGACCAGAAATGCCTCAAAGCTCTGAACAGTCTGCTTTTGAACTTTGCAGAATCAAATCCTAAGAAGCTCCAAAGGCCAAATGTGTCATTGCCGTCCCGTCCGGCTGAAGCGGGTCAGAACCCACAAATGGACCTGTGGTTCTCCCCCCTTCTCTCTCGTTTTCAAGCTTAGTTCCTCACATTTCTTCAACACTAAAATGGGCGGAGCCATCTCACTGCTGTGGCTTTGTTGTGCTTTTGAACCCAGTAAAGGTTTAAATTAAACATCAAACCCTCTGAAGAGCTGGTAAAAAGGCCAAACACGAGTTCTGGCCGCAGAACGCCACGAATCCAGCTTCTGCAGAAGTCTGCAGGAACACACTAGTGCATGGATGCACGTGTAACACAAACAGACGCTGAGGGGGAAAAATGTAACGCACCATAATGGAAACCACATGGTGGAGAGAGGAGGGGCCGGGGAGGTGAACTCTCAAATTCATCCTCCACCAACGAGGAGTCACATGGTCTCTGCTGTAATCCAGCTAGCAGCTAATGGGAGGAAAATCTGCCTCCAACCATCTGAAATGATTAAAATGTATTTGCAGATCCAGTAGAACTTTAGAGAGTTGCTCGAGGTCCTGACATACTCACGTAATCCGGTTTGCTGCAACAAGAGGTCATACTAAAGAGCCTCTGGTCTCTGCTCACAGCCCATTTATGTGGAGCAGAACAATCCTGGATCTCCTCCTCAACCACTTTAGCTCTAAATTAAGGTCCTTGTGGTGAGAAGCTTATAGACCAAGTTCTGAGACACCGTTTTTAGTTATGTTTGAAATACGACCAGCCTGAGTTAAACATGAAAATGGCCTCGTCGTACCCCTACTTCCTGCCTTAGCTGCTGATCTTCGTCTCACTGTAAATTAACATTCATGGAAACTCCCATTTTGGCTCATGATGGTGAAGGCTGTTAGTTTAGCATCCAGGAGAGAGCAGAGTGCATCTCTATTAGTAGAAGCTAACCGTTAGCATTAGCAACTCTTCAACATGGCAGACCTCCAGGCTTGTGTTATTAGTGGAGATAAAAAGTTACAGAGAAAACAGTCAGTGGTAGAGTCACGTCACTGTTAGCCAATCAGAGCAGAGATGACTGAATATCATGAATAATAACAAGTAAGACTCCAAATCCCGGCTCCCCACTCCTCCCACTAACTTCCTACTTCCTGAAACAGCAGCGCCGGAGCCTTTTTAGTCACAAAATAACCCACATGACATCATTTATACTGGAGACCACCTAGGGCTATGGCCCAAAATCAATATCACGATATATCAAGGATTACACCTCTATAACGATAAATGGACGATAACTACAGGTATGCTCAGAAATAAAGTTGTCCACTAGATGGGGCTGCCACATGCATTATGTTGCGTCACATTTTTATGTGACTCAAGTTGGTACAGCTTCTTGAAGGGACATGAATGTCGCCAACCTACACACATTGTTTCATTTTTTATTATTAAATTTATTGACATGGGAAAAATTCTCAAGAGTCAGAAATTTCGATTACCATAATTTTATTTATTGCCAGCCCTGTTATTAAAAAATTAGTGGATGAGAGCTTTACGCCGTCAGGTCGGCTGTAAACAGAACGCGACAAACTTTTAGTAAACTTCTACGCTGTTGGTAGAGAGTAGGAATGTGACCCGTAGTTTCCCATTTTTACGTGAGATAAATGCCCAGCCTATCAGGGAAGGGGTGGGCGTGGCCAGCAACAGCTTGAAGGGAGCCCGAAACAGCTCATTCTGGAGGGTACTGAAAATGTCTCAAGAATGAAACTTATGCAAGACTGAATTTATGTAAAGAACTCCATGAACACGTTTTTTTTATTGACCATAAAATCATTATAAATTTTTACAAAAGGTGCATGCCTCCTATAAAAGGACCTCTTGAGCCATTTGGAAGTGCATTTCTGTGTAAAACTTGTATATAAAAAAAAGAACCGAAAAATAGTTCCCATCTTTCAGGAATGATGAGCTAACGGCTAGTACTAATGTAGCCATGATTAAAGAGTTTTTTTTTTATCCTAAAATTCCTCAAGTCTCCAAGTAAACATTCATGGTTACTAAAAAGTTAAAGTTCCAGTGAATCACACGTTTATAACATGTCTGCTTTCAGTGTTGTGAGGATTTAAGACAGGAGTCCTTTTTGGTTTACGCTGGGCTCAGACTAGCCGTTAGCTCATCAATCCTGAAGGGCGTAATGCCATTCAGAGGTTGTAAGCTAGTCATTTAAAAAAACATTTAGGCAGAAACACTTTAAAATGACTGAAGTTTCCCTTTAAAGTCTCTCTTAAGTTAAAGTGGTGACCACACAGGCAGAATATTCCCAGACCTCAAACCCAACCCGTCCATCGTCCTGTCCACTCCGCCCACGGCCTTCAGCTCCATGGCGCTGAGAGCTGTCCTCGCTTCATGTGAGCAGACACAAAAGGGCCTGCTGTGAGCACACGCCATCGCATCACAGGCATCTGTGTCTCTTCCATTGTCCAGACTGGGGAGGAGACCGGCAGCTGGAGGACAAACATGGAGCCGGAACGTCAGCTTCTACTGATGCCAACTCAAAACTACACTAATTAAATACCGTGGCTCTCTGTTTATTAGGAATTAGATCAGACATGTGAGGATGTCCTAAACGAGTTTATAAAGCATTTAATCCCCGCTGGTTGAGTATTCATTTAGGGACACACCCACAGCTGGAGCAGCTGGAAGCTAACCGCTAATAGAGCCAACATCAGAGGAGGAGGAGGTTTCTAGCACACACACACCCTTCACACACTAACGCATCAGCCTTCACCCTACAGGGATTATCAGCCACTAGACAAGGTCAGAGATGAGCGAGCGCCTCGTGTCTCACTTCCTGTCAGCGGGGGGGGGTGAAGGCTACAGAAAGGGTGCCAGGGTTGATTCACAACCAGACGCAACACCGCGGCCTTCAGCCTTTAACCCACAAACCTGCAGCGTTCAGATTGTGATGCAACAAAGCGGCCTCGCCTGCAGAGCTCCGACCCTCCCATCGTGCGGGTTTGGACCTCCAGCACAAGAGCCTCATTTTCCTTCCAAATCAATTCCACAGCTAGTCTGGCCAGGGGGTTGTCACATGAGGCAGCCACAAGATCAGAAGTCTCGGGGAGTTTCACAATCAGCCACTGAAGAACACAAATAGCCAGCATGCAACCGAGAGAGGAGCAAATTAAAAAGAGCAGGCGGTGGCGGGGCACCAGCAGCTAACAGGAAGTGATGGGACTCGTTTAGCTGATGAACCGGTGCTCGGGACGGGAGGTGGGGGTGGGGTCAAAGCTCCAGGATGACCGACTGATAATTGCAGCCTGGACCACATGAGGGTTGTTAAACCTTCTCCCTGGGAATTTGTGACCACTGATGAGGAAAGTGGATGTTACAAACTGGAAACTGCATCAAACTGGTTTATTAGGAACACGGCGAGCTCAAAGCGAAGGACAGAATGGTCCTGATCCAAACATCCATTCCATCAGCTTCCTGATGGAGGTCTGGTCCCTGACATCCCCTTTCCCTGCAACACTCTCCCGACATTCCCAAATCCTCATCTAGGGTCAGCTCCGAGGCTGAGACCGGCCTCGTCACCACTCAGAAATCTGGCAGTATGGTTACGGTCTGTGGGAGCACCGTTGCTAAGCAGCAGCGTTCTCCGTTCATCGGAGCTCCGTGAGAAAACTCCCGGACAAAACTGGATTCTGGATCCATCCTCAGAATGGTGCCTCTCTAGAGGCGTGATGGGAAAATCCTCTGAAGTGGTTTCATGTTTCCCAAAAGTCACCAACACTTTTGAGGAAGTCTCAACGCTTCTTTAGCATCTTGATGTTTATAAAGAGAACCTAAATGTTAACGGCTGCTGATGCAAACAGAAGAGGAACGTCGACTCAAATAAAACCAGGATGTTCCGTTTAAAGCTTTAAACACGAAAAAGTCAAGTCAGTAAATCAGTAATCCTGACTGGACCGAAGCAGCTTTTAGACTGACCCACGAGGCTGAAACCCATCAGAACAGAACCAGCACATCAGCTCTGGACCGCCAGCTGAACAGCCCTGCAGAGACAAACTACTGGAAGCTGTTTGCACAACATCTGGAGTTGGTTTAATTCCTCTCAACGTCTAATCCTCATCAGAACTGAGCAGTTGTTGGGAGGATGAACGCGGTCTCCATGGGAAAACCCCGTCTCCTGCTCATCTTCCCCGTTCGGGTCAGCTGGGTTCAGGGACTAGTTTGGGTCTTCTGGAGTGGGACTGGATGATTACCTGTAGTAGGTAGCTCTTTGAACAACCTCAGTTTACAGAAACGAGTCAGTTATGTTCAGATTGACAAGATAACTGCTAGTCAGTCGGGCTAAAGACAACTTCAGGAAGTAAAACTCAAATCAGTTTAATAAAGCTTCATATAACAGACATTATCCTGGAAACTAAATCATTCCTACCAGAAATGCCTCGAGCTGCGCTGGAAGGGCCACAAGCTAGCAAGCTGCTATGGTCCGCATTGACTATAGCAGGTAGCTAGCTAGCTGCTATGGTCCGCGCTGACTATAGAAGCTAGCTAGCTAGCTGCTATGGTCCGCGCTGACTATAGAAGCTAGCTAGCTAGCTGCTATGGTCCGCGCTGACTATAGAAGCTAGCTAGCTAGCTGCTATGGTCCGCATTGACTATAGCAGGTAGCTGCTATGGTCCGCGCTGACTATAGAAGCTAGCTAGCTAGCTGCTATGGTCCGCATTGACTATAGCAGGTAGCTGCTATGGTCCGCGCTGACTATAGAAGCTAGCTAGCTAGCTGCTATGGTCTGCATTGACTATAGCAGGTAGCTGCTATGGTCCGCGCTGACTATAGAAGCTAGCTAGCTAGCTGCTATGGTCCGCATTGACTATAACAGGTAGCTGCTATGGTCCGCGCTGAAAAAAAAAAATCACAGGAAAAATTTTATAGGAATCATTTAATGTTGTAACAGATGGCAAGCAAAGGTTTATAAAGTTTCCTTTACATAAATAACATGTCATTTCAGAGATGCCATGTTAAGGTTGTTAGTCACGTCAGATTTGAAATATTCTGCCAGAATAAAGTTTTTCAAACTTTCAAATAATTTTTCCACAAAACTAAAAAAAAATATTAATCTGAGCTCACTTTGAATCAAAATGTTCTTTTAGCGTTTGAAATAAGTCTTACAACCGCAAAACCCCAATTTTGGCCATGGCTCTCCATAGCCTAATTGTTAGCTCATCAATCAAGTCAAAATGAACATTTTCCTCCAAACTGAGGTCGTCCAAAAAGTTTAGTCAGAGGAATTTTGTCCCTCAACAAAAGGACACTCTGCTGCTTTCCCAATCCAGTAACAGAGCCCAAAGCTTTCCCGTCTGATCGGCACCAACCAGTAAACCATTAACTCTGCCCATTCACAACATGGAAAAACCCCGATACGCAAAAAGTAACTTGAGTCTCAGCTGAGCACCAAGCGCTACAGCTAGCGGTTTACAGCTGCTGCGGAGGCAGAAATTAGCCAAAAAAACTAATTTTAAATGGAACAAAAACAAATTCAGGTCCCAGGAGAACAGCTTCTCCAGAGGGTCTGGTTATTCTTTACAACAGTCAGAAGATGGTGGATTTTGACATTTCTGTGTGCAGGTTCCATGTTCTTTTCATAACATTGGTGCTGATTTAGTGGATTTCTCTTTTTTTTCCTAACAAGCCGGGTGATCGGAATACCGAGGCCTCTAAATCTAACCGATCTGAGAAATAATTGCTTTTTATTTTATGGTTTTAACATGAAACCGAGGCTATTGTTTAAAATCAGCACACGTTTGATTATTTTGACCTCCTCTTTCAAAAGCTGGACACCATTTTGTGTCCGAGACGGCGTGCCGCTCTACAGAAGCATGGATGTCCGGATGACATGTGGACAAAAGGATAACGTTCCCAGGGTGGGACGGACTCTGGAACAGGAAAATCAAATGATAGAGGATTCTCAGAGCACAAGCAGAAAAGCCACTGAACCACAGCGTGTCGTCCTCTCAGACGCCTCCCGTCACTCAGTCAGCGCCACATCTGCCTTCAGGCATCCGGTTACCTCAGGATTCTTTAGGTTTAAGGATTAGACGTCAACCCAGACGCTGACAACTGTTCAGGAACAACAAAACACGCAGCAGAGAGCCGGGAGGAGTGGGGGAGGAGAGGTGAAGGCTGCATGGGGACATAATGGAACAGATGTCAAAAAAAGAGGAGGTGGTAAAAGCAAAAGATGGAAAATGTTAGAAGGAAGGAAGGAAGGAAGAAGGTGGAGACGTGCATGTGTCCCTGCCCAGAGTAACAGCTGAAAACCAGAGGCCAACGCCAGACCAGAGACGGCGTGAAGATCCAAAAGATCCAATAAGAACCGCTCGGTTCCAGAAACAAAAGTCTTGCTGGTCGCCAGTCGAAAAGATCAAAATCGGACTCATTCTTTGAATCATTGATGATCCAGTTTAAATACATGTGAGAGAACCCTAAATGCTAACATGCTAACAGACTGCTGGAGGCAAGGGGTCTCCTAAGGTCTTCAGACCCCTTTGCTGGTGAGATCAGAGTGGTCTGAGCACCGATCCTCTGGTCTGGGGGCGGATCCCCTACCGATTCAGGCTTAACTAAACTCAATCTTCTAATCAGAGAGACTCGGACCTTAAGATAGGGTCCCTCTCCCTCTGAAACGGCCCGTTTGGTCTGAGACCACCATGTTTACACCATTGATGTCAGATGATTATTCATCTGTTATGTGTCTCTGGATGCACTGCTGCCAAGCAGCTCTTACAGATTTAACTCATTCACCACTGCTAAGAGCTAACTCACATTAGCCATAGCAGCTCTTTCACCAATCATTGCCTATGCGCAGACAAAAATCAGCAGGTCAGGGTTGCACATGGTGGCGATCGGTATCGGCCCTATAGAAACCTGCATCGGTGTCTATAAAAGCAGGATGCTGTTTTTGGTTTCCTTTGGGCCAGACTTCTCTAGGACCACCTCAGGACACATGGAGCAGGAATGTTGCATCCCTGTTGCTCTGAGGTCTCCTGAGAAGGTGGCTTCAGGCCAGACACTCCATTTTAACATGAGTAAGGTAAATACACACAGGCCTCCCAGCCGGGATGTGCTGGGGGGGGGGGGGGGGGTCACATTCCATCACTATCACACCTCCCCTACCAACACGCGCGCGCACACACACACACACGCACACACACACACACACACACACACCAGCCAGAAGACCTGGGATGGAGCACCGCACCCACCTTGCCGGGTGGAGACGTTCCTCTCGTTCCCTGCGGTGAGGACCACCTGCGGGTGGCTCTGCTCCAGCACGAACAGCTCGTCCTTGCCCACCCGGCCGCTCTTGCCGGACTTCATGGTACCGGAGGGTCCGGAGGGAGCCAGGTACCGGCCGCCGCAGTCCCTGAAGGCCACCTTCCCGGAGCGGAACTCCAGCGTGTATCCCGTGTTCTTGTCCGTGGTGGCGACCAGCGCGCCGTCGTTCCTCAGGAACCGGTTGTCGGACGTCTGCAGGTGGTACCGCTGCTCTCGGAACACCAGCGTGATCATGGAGTCCACCCCCCACGGGACGTCCCGGTCGATGGCGATCTCGTCCACCTTGTCGCTCAGGTGCGCGTAGCGCTTGCGCGTCATGCTGAAGATGTTCACCTGCGGGTGCATGGCGATGTGCACGCTCCATTTCTCCGCCACCGAGGCGGTCTGGGCGAAGCAGATGATCCGGTCCTCGGTGCCGCCCAGGTAGCGCCCGTGCGGCTCGGACTGCAGGGACCAGCGTCCGTCATCGTGAGCGGTGATGACGAAGCGGCAGTCCGGACCCGGGGCCTCGCTGTCCCCGGTGACGTTCCCGTCCTTATCGGCGGCGATGTACCGACCCAGATGCGACTTGAGCAGGAACACGTTGGCGTTGGTGTCGTCCCCGCTTTGCTCCAGGGTCCAGATCTGCTTCTTCTTCATGCTGCTGGCGGACGCGTTGATCTTGAATCCGAACGTCTCCGCCGTCAGGTACTTGTTCCCGCAGTTGATGAGACCGAACTGGATCTGCAGCATGTCGCTGGTCCCGTTAGTTGCGCCGTTGGTCGTCATGGTCCGTGCGTTCGAGCTTCGGTTCGGACCGGTTCTGCCTCGGAGGGGTGACAGAGCGGGAGCTCGGGAGGGGAACTCTTCTGCAAAGTGGGCTCGCGGCTGAAAGGGTGAGATGCTCTGCCGCCTCGCGTGCTTCTCTTTGTTTGGGGAGTGATATGAGTGCGTGTGTGAGCGCGCGCGCCACCGGTCCACTGTGCTCTGCTTGTCTCAGCAGCGCGAGCTCGGCGCCACAGCTGCAGCCTATATAACCATCAGTGACGTCAGAGCGCACATTACGCCCACCTACAACATCCAAAAAACCACAGGAGCATCAAATTGATTCCTCTTTCTGGTCACGTGATTCTCTAAAGCTTGCAAAAGTACAACTAGAACCAACCTTCTGCTGAATCTAGACAGGCTTGTGGTGATGTTCTTGTCCATGTGTTCCATTACCAGTATTTCATTAAAACTCTCAAAGTAACTAATCAATGTTTGGAGTCAACCTGATTAAAGATGGCCGCCAAAGCTAAACTATCTTAGCTAACCCAAGTAAAACTTTCCAACTCTGACAGATTTTTTTAAATTTTGAGCTAAAATTTGGTGTGAAGATGGCTGAGAGTCTTTCACAACACAAACTCCAACAGAAGTTTACTCAAGTTTGTGTTTCATCTGTTGGGAGTCAACCCTGTTTGCTAGCTAAACATCCCAGTAACTACCACTTGGGTTTTAATGAAACATTTATGATTTAGCTTAGAAGTTATCTAAATTAAAGATGGCCGACATAGCTAGCTGACCACAAGTGATATAAATGAGTCTAAAATTGACTTTAATTAAGCTAAAGTTTTCCGTGTTGGCAAACGGGAGCCCTTCACAACTCAGTGTAATTTTCCTGATTTGACCGTGTTCACAACTCACAGCACAAATGAACTCACATAATTTTAGTCCTTTTGATTACGGAGGAAATGATTTGCAGGGAACGATTAAAATGCTATTCTCCTACACCGATCAAATGGAGTCAGCATTCAAATCATGAGCGCTGGGTGTGTGCACGACCACAGAGAAAGCTCCATTCATGCCGCAAGCAAACACATCGGAGGGCAGCAAAGGCCCGTTCCACAAACAAAGAGGCCAAACCAACAGAGCACACTGGCATCTTCTCACTGCATGAACAAATGAACGTACACACACACAAAGTGTGTGGAGGCAATAGTAGAACCATGCAGCAACACACACTCTTATGTCTAAAGGTCAGAGGACAAATTCTCCACAGATTCTGCTCAGCTGTGTTGGAGTCGCCACAGACAGGAAAGTACATGATGTTTTAACTTTTCCAATCCACTGATGCATTGGTTCTGCTCGTATCTTTATGCAAATTCTGTCATTCTTATCAGCAACCAGGTGTCAGTTTGTCGCCCAACATCAAAACACTCTTTAAACCTGTTACTTAACATCTAAATTACATGTTTGATAGCAAGCTTCTGACAGAGAGATTCTGTTTTCTTCATTTTTAACTCAACAGTAAAATGATGCAATGAACACACACACACACACACACACACACACACACACACACACACACACACACACACACACACACACACACACACACACACACACACACACCTCCCCTGCATCCTGCTGACAGACACGAAGTCCAACGTTTTCCAGCTCTCTGGGCGAATCCGATCCTCACAAAGAACATCTTCACTCTAAATTAGATCTCAGAGCCGTTTCACCTCCAAACGTCCTGTTGTAATAAAATCATCCAGACTTGGTTTCTTCTTGACCGTGTTGTGCAGCATGTCTGACAACAGAAAATCCTGATGAAATTTGGAACGATCTCTTACCACTCTTGTCCTGATGGTGAAACATTTATAGTTCAATGACCTAATTTTGTTTCCCAGTTCAAATCAATGAATCTGGGTTTAGGTAGAAATCAAAGACTAACTCTTTAGCAACGGTGCCTTCAGCTAAATTTGTTCTTGAAAAGAGCTCATCACCCCCAAATCAACTTTTTTTTTTGCTTATAAACTATAAAAAATGAGTGTCTAATCACGCTGTACGAACTTGTAGTCAGTAATTTGGCACTTTAGTGCATCTCAATTAAAATGTAAATATTCTGCCTAAAACTGTCTGCATTTTTCACACAGGAATTGGAAGTGGACTCTGGTAGGGGGTGACTTGCTCTTTAAATACAGTATATATTTTTTTTATTGTGTAGATCAATTCTTAACTGAAATGTTAAATGGAATAAACCTGACCTCACCTGATTTTGATAGCCCCTGAACAACCTCATTTCAGAGAAATAGCGACTACATCTGACCATAATAATAATAATAATAAATGTGCCAGAAAAACAATGAAATGTAAAATTTCTAACAAAATTTAAGTTAGTTTATTTATAGATCCAAATCACAATTAGTCGTTTACAAAGTAATCACTCCAATTCCAGGACACTGAGCACTATTTATTTTTTAATTAGTTAAAAGTTTCTTATGTAATGAAACATAACAGATTGCATCAAGCCACTGACCTGTTGTGCCAGAGACTTTACAACAATCCTTACTAAGCAAGCATGTAGCGACAGTGGAGAGGAAAACTCCCTTTCAACAGAACATGGCTCAGTATGAGCGTCCATCTGTCGTGACCTACTGGAGGTTTGAGAAGAAAATACAGATTGTAAAACTGTGAATGCATCGTCTTCTATAAATTGTTTGAGATTAGAATTGTTTTAGAACATTTTGTAACTGAGTCATGTATTGTGGTCACCTTAATCTGATCCTTATCTCTCCAAACTGAGGTTGTTCATAGAGGTGAGATGTTGATGGATCTTAGCTTCTCTACAGGACCTCACTAGAGAGTAGAACTATGCCAATAAGAAAGAGAAAAATCCAGACAATGATTAAAGCATTTAGAAGCAGATCTTCAGACTTCCTGTTTCCTCAGGTGATGCTTCAGTCATTCATTTAAAGGTCACCTCCAGTAGAATGATCCCTTGTGCCTTTGCAGAAGCAGCAATCAGCTGTTTTGGTTATTCGGTCCAGCTGCATCAATTAACTTTTGTCAAAACAAAATGATAAAAAATATGCTAATCCATCATATTATCCTGCTTAGACTGCAGCTTAAATGAATTAAGAGGATTGAATGGAGTTATAGAATTGGACTTGCGTGATTAAAAGCTCATCCCTGCCAGTCTAAACTTTTCCTGAAGGATTCTCGCTTGTGGATTCAGGGTTGGGATCTTTTAACGAGCCTGACTGTGAACCGTTGAAGATTCAGGTCTGAGATGTACCTGCTGGGCCTCTTGCTCACATGGGCTCCCCTAAAATTACAACAAAGCACGAGTGTTGCATTTGTGAAGTATATATTTCACACTCTGGTGGTGATGAGCTACATTATAGCCACAGCTGCCCTGGGGCACACTGAGGTCAGGCAAGGGGGAAGTGCCTTGCCCAAGGACACAACCAATTACATGGATGAAACCTGGGTTTGAACTGGCAACTCACCGACCGGGCTCCTAACCCCTGTTGTCCCACAATCAATCAATCAATCAATCAATCAATCAATCAATCAATCAATCAATCAATCAATCAATCAATCAATCAATCAGATTTTATTTCTAAAGCGCTTTTCAAGCAAAGTGCCACTCAAAGTGCTTTACAGAATCAAAATGACCCCAAATTCCCATAAGTTTAAAGACATTAACAGACATATGCACACACACACACACATCAGTAAAAATTTATATTCGGCAGAGTCCAGATGAGCCAAGTAAGGTAAGGCAAGAAAAGGCCATCAGAGGAGCCATCTGCCACGGCAGCATCAGGTCTTCCACACTGAGTGCGTTTACATGCAGCCAGTAACCCTTTTAAAACCCAAATATTCACAATAACCCGGTTCCGCACGGCCATGTAAACACCGCCACAAACCCAGATATACTCATAAACGGGTTTTTAAAAACCCGGTTACTACACCTGGGGTAACCCTTTTCTAACCCGAATGTTTGGTCGTGTAAACGCATATCGGGATATCCCCATCAAAGCGTGTGTTCTGCGCATGCTCTGTTCGCAAGGAATCTTGGTCTTTTGAGTAGCGAGACGTCTTGTATGCGCCAGAACACCGGAAGTAAACAACAAGTTGGGAGCAACATGGCGAGTCGCGGCACAGCACCACACTTTTGGAGTGTTTGGTGGGTCAATACCAGCACTAAAGCGCAAACAAACGCGGTCGCTATCTCTTCCGAACTGGGAAACATGTTGTTGTTTTCACAGATACCGGAACAAGAAGAACTGGAAATGATGCATATTGCGCCTTGACGTAGTCCATACGTCCTGACGCTACCCCAATGTCTGCATTTAAATCGGGTTATGCAAGTTAGGGGTAACTCTTTCTATTTATGCTTGTAAACGGGTTATTCTGATCAACTCAGAAACCCGAATACCGACCTTAACCCGATCATAACCCGGATATTGGCTGCATGTAAACGTAGTCACTAAGTCAGGGCGCTCAGAGGAGGGGGAGCATAGACCCCCACCTCCACTTAAAAACTACCTGTAGAGCGCCCAGGAAGCAACAGTCGACCACTGCCCCTGGGGCAGAGGGCCCCTAAAGAGAAAACTCTGGATAAAAATGAATAAAAATATGAAAATAAAACAGCTAATATAAATGACAAAAGTAAGAAAATAAATAATAAATAAATTCATATGGATCCAGAATTTGATGTCTAAAATGCAGATTAAAAGTGCATCCATTGGTCGAGAGTCATCAGGAGACACGGAGATGTACAACTGTATATCATCAGCATAACTGTGAAAGTTGACTCCATGTCTCCTAATGACACTGCCAAGAGGGAGCATGTAAAGGTTAAAAAGCACTGGGCCTAAAACTGAACCCTGGGGCACACCATGTGTAGTCCCATGGACCCTCGAGGAACAGGTATCTAAACTAACACCTCTCCGAGCACCAGCTAGGGACCACTGTTGACGTGTCGCTCCTTTAACTCTAGTACATCTCCTGATGGTGAAGCAGAGGCAGGGACCCTGTACCCCCCTTCCTATGCAGGTGTTATAGGTGTGAACTACTTTAACTTAGAAAGCATTTTATAAACGCACATCATTTACCATAACCGTCCCCCAACTTCTGTCCTTTGTCCTTAGACAGAACCAAAAGTGGCCCATCTCTTCCAGTTGTTTCATGGCTTTCCGACACCTTGCTCCTGTGCGTCCATGTTGTGGAGCAGGTGAATG